TGTCTCCCCACTGCTCCCCACAGCAGTGGACTTCAGTCAATGTACCTGTTCTGCTCCCCACTCTGTCTCTTGTGAGTCCTCTCATGCTCCCCCCACCCCTGTGCCGCTGGCCTGTACCCCAGTTCTTGTGTGCATAAATTAAAAACAATTATTTCACATCACATCTTGACATGTGAACTTCCGTCAGGGACTGCTCTTACTCTTCGCAGGTGCTGGAAAGCAGAAGGCCAGGCCAGTTGACGCTCCCGCTGCTCCCAAATCAACGGGGAGTAAGTCACTGGAGCCTTCTCAGGCAGGCAGGACAGCACCAGGGATTGTTTCAAACCCAGCTTCTATGAATCCAGGTGTTCGCTCATCTCTGGCGCAAAACGCCACCTTCACCCGACATGTCAGTTCCCGGACACACATCTCCCCAACTTGCTTGGGGGTCCCGACCCAATCCGGATGTCGCAATATCCACCCCACAGCCTGAGCTTTTTTACATAGGGGGATCCTAGTTTTTAATTGGATCTTATTTTGTGACCCGGAATATGGGCTGAGTGGGTAAATATTCCAGGAGCATTTGAAAAAAATTCCACTCTGCCACCGCTGAGCATTGCCTCCAACCTAACCATGTCTCTGCACTCTGCCTGTCACTGTGCCAAGGCCAATCCCTGCGGGCTACTCGGCACCAGCTCCCTGACCAGCTTTGCTCAGGGAAGCGAAGGGCCCGGCTTCACACACCGCTCTGGCCTCATAAACCCATTCCTTCTCCCTCCTGCCCACCGCGCCAGGCCGCCCGGCCCTCCCACTCCCTTCTCTGCCCCAGGCCCGCTGCTTGCCTGATAGCGAATCTCTGAGCGAACCAGTAAGAACATTAAGTTTTAGCAGAAATAACCAGGAATCAAGCGTATAGTCATATGCTCATGCTTGTAATGGTCACGTTAAAACATGATTAACACAGCATTCAGCCATGATGCCTTCTGGTGCAGTTGAGACCCCAGCCATCCTCACATTCATTTTTATTTTTTAAAGATTGATTTATTTATGATACAGAACTGGGGTACAGGCCAAAGGTGCAGGGAGGGTGAGAGGCTCCCCCAGAGACAGAGCAGGGAGCAGAACAGGAAGATCGATGAAGCACACTGCTGAGGGGAGCAGCGGGCGGGTCAGGAGAGGGCTGCCTCGCCATGTGGTCACCTCCAGGGCGGAATCGAAGTCACACTGAGGTGGCTGCAGTCAGCTTGCAGTGCTGTGCCCTAACTCGTTGTGCCACCAGGGAGGCCCATCCTCATATTCTTTGGAGAATTGATAATGAGTGAAGAAATGTAAAAACAAGGTCATTCCAGATTGCAGAAAGTGTTAAGCAAGAAATGAAATTTGGTGATAAAAGAGCATCCTGGGAGGAGGAGACTTCAGACAGAGCCTTCCATGGCCAGAGACAGAGGATCGGGGACGGGAGAGGGGCCGGGCAGGGGATGCCTGCGGGGCAGTGTCAGGTGAAGTCCCCAGAGAGCGAGCAGGACTCCAACTGTGACGCCCCACGGGGTCATGCGCTCAGCTTTCCCCGCCTGTTTCCACACCTGAACAACACCTGCTTCCCCCGGCTGTAAGGAACATAGAACCGGGAATTGTGTCACAAATATTCCCAACCTCTCCACCTGTTTCTTTGAACTCTGTAACTTACTCTGAAATCCAAACAATTAGATGTCTCCATGGCTGGACAGAGAGATGGCAGAGGCTGGACAGATGGACAGTTAGGAGCTGAGACAAGAGTAAATGTTAACACACGAACTTTTAGGTACCTCTGAGATGTGTCCAAAAGGCAATACTTAGGCCGCGAAGCTGTCGCAGGGCCGCTGTGCGGTGACAGCGACAGGAACTTGCAGCTGAAGTGGATCCGGCGGCGCAGTGACCCACAGGGCTTAGCGGGTCTCACCTGTCTCCCCGCTGCGCCCCTCAGCAGTGTGCTTGGTGGCTCTGCCTGTTTGCTCCCCATCCTGTCTCAGGAGAGTCTCTCACCTCCCGCCCCCACCTGCACCCCAGCTCGGGTTGCGCAAGTAAAGAAATCTTACAAAAGGGGGGAAAGAACCTGCAGCCTCTGAGCCTGTCGCGGAGACCGCGCGGGGCTCCACCGCTAGAGGGCGCGCCCGCGGCGTCCGCAGCGGAGTCGGGGGTGGGGGGCCGTGGGCAGCGTGCAGACCCCGCAAGTCCTCAGGCCCCGCGGTCTGCAAATCAGCACCCACCGTCTGGCCCCACGGAGATTCGGATGGAGACAGCAGGAGGAGGAGAGCGGTAACTGCACCGAGCAGGTGTCAGACAGCGCTAAACGCAAGCACACGGCTGACTCATGCTTCTTTACGGATCCGTCTGAAAATGAGGCGCTGAGGTGCGTGTGCTTGCTGGGCGCCATCTCCCCAGGAGGGTGCCCTGGTTCTCCAAGGGCAGGGCAGCCGTTAGGGGCAGTCGCATATCTCCTTTTTGCACGCTGAGCCCCACCTAGTGCTCTGGGGGTGTGGGGTGGGGGGAAGCAATCCAGCCCCTAATGTGAGAAACTTTCCCAGTCCTTCAGGGAACCCAAGGAAGGCAAATGACCCCAATCACCTCAGTTTTGCAAGCATCTTGTCAGCAACCCGCTGTGTTCAGAAAGTAAAAGTAGGGGTGTCTCTGCTCTGGCTGCAGAAGCACCCCAGGATTGCCAGGGATTTCTCAGCCCCCACCCCCACCCCCCGGCAGAGTTAACTGTGCAGTAGTTTTCAATACTTAGTGTTAAGCACTTAGCATGGGCAGGAGCCTTCTAAAAATAGAGGCTGGAAATAACTTGCCACAAATGCGGTTGGTGGATGAGAAGGGGTGTCAGCCCAGCTGCCTGTCCCCCCCACCAACCCCCCCCCCAGCTGACCTGGGGCTGAGCTGCTCTGGAGTCACCCCATGGAGCTGGGAACCTGATCGCCACCAACCAGGATGATGAAGATGGCGCAAAGCTCCTAATCCCTGGACTTCCCGGGTAGTTTTCTGGGTCCTTATCTGCAAACGGGAGCCTGGCAGCGAAGTGCCCGCATAAACGATTCCTTGCTCAGAACCTGAAGGTAGGAGTAGGTGGTATCCACATGGCCTCTGCGCCCCTCTGTGTCCCTGGGAACACCCAGAGGGCGCTGGCAGGCCTGGGCTTCCAGTCTCCTGTATAAGGGGCCGGGTGGGGGGTAGGCGAGGTGGTGAGGGCAGTGGGCTTTGAACGCTGGCCAGGTTGCCCTGTGGGCTTCAGGCTGGGGCTGGAGCCATCCCTCTGGGGGTGCAATTAAGTGTCATTTGCATTTCTTATAGGGAGCAGATGTGCCTTTCTATTGGAAACTGTTCCCAGATGTCCTGGCTTGCTGCAATTTCCATCAAAGGCTAGTTTGGAGTTTTACAATTAAAGGTGTGGCCCTGGCCCTGGCCTGGGCCCTGGCCAGAATTAAGTTTCCACTTGGCCCTGGAGGCAGGATGAGCCAGCTCTCTCCCCACAAAGTCCCTGCACCTCTCGAGGTCCCCTGGGAGCCCCACTGCGGCACAGTCCCCACCTGCGGAGCCCCGGGCATCCTGCCCACTCCCTTCCCTGCCCGGGAGATGGCAAGAAAGTGGAGAGTCCGAGCCCGAGCTGGACAAATGTGACACGCAGCTGGAGCGTCCCTGCAGATGCCGCCCCGTCCTCAGCCGGCACCTCCGACCCTCCCGCTTGCGGCCTCCAGCAGCGCCCGGCTCTTGCCCACTCTGGCCTCACCTCCCTGCTTGACTCTGCTGCGCATCTGTGACCCGGCGCCTCCTTCCTGTCCGCTTCGGCCGCCTCCTCCCACCTCCGCATGCCCCGCTGCGGACCACACTTCCCCACTTCCCAGCTGGCCCTGGGGCTTGCGTTCCTGCCTGCCCAGAACTGTCCCCCCAGGCTGCCCAGCGCGGGCTGAGCCTGGGGTGTGCTATCCAGTGCTCCCGCCGGGGCCGGGGGACGCCCCGCCCTCCCACCGCCTTTCCTGGCCCTGCAGCCTCTCTGGGCAGCGCCTTCTGCTCATTCTTGCACCCCCAGAGAGCCCCTGCTTTGGGGACCCAGCCTGCCCTCTGCTGCAGCGCCAGGTCCCGGGCCTTCCTCTTCCATAGTGCGTCCCCTGTGGACTCTTCCTGGGCCTGGTGGAGGGGCGGGGCCTGCATTCATGGACAGTCACCCGAACAGCTCGTGCTCTCTGGACCCCAGCTCCTGGGGGTGCCAACACCCACATAGTTGGCTGCTATCTTGATTCCACAGACTACAGGTGGGGAGAACTGTGGGAAGGGGTGAGAGGCCTGAGTCGGGCTCCCCACCCTGGTGCCCAGTCTGTCGAGACCCAGCGCCAGCCCTGCAACTCCTAGAAAATCCAAACTGATTCCCCAGCCTGGGGAGGGCTGCAGCAAAGGAGTCTCGCTTCCCAGGCTGGGGGTGTAACAGGGGGGGTCCCTAGGAAAAGGGGAAGTTCCAGGTTCCCTGCCCCACCCGGAAGGAGGGTGGAGCTGAGCAGAGAAAAAGGAAAAAGAGAAGGAAGCAGGATGGAGGAGGAGCAGGAGACCTGAGGAAGCCACAGGAGCAGCGAGCATGTGAGGAAGAAACCGGGCTGTTTCCTGACCCTGGACGGGTGAAGGCAGATGTGGGCGAGAGACCTGCAGGGAGGTGACTATGGCCGTGTTTACACTGATTTTGGTTTTGCTCTTTTCCTCTCAGACTTGTCTGGCCATGTCTGACCCTTGTCCATGGGTCCCGGACAGAAGGTGCTTTCGTCTAGTGGCGGCTTTCAGGCCTTGCTCTGGGCCAGTCCCTTTTGGGTGGACTTTTGCCCACAAGGGGACGGGTCACTGCAGGTGGTTGATTTAGAAGTTCTATTCCTTGTGTTCCGTATTGTATATTCACTGTATTAAAGTCCCTTTTCATTAAAGTTTTATATGTCTTGTCTTGTTGCGGCAGATGGCAGAACCCACTGAGAGCAGGCAGGTTTGGGGGTTCAGGAGTGCCCCTCTCTCCCTGTCTTGGAACAGATTTGCTGCCCTGTAACAGGGGCAGAGGTAGCTTGCTGTCGCTGCGGGTCCGGCCTCCCCTCTGGCCTGCACGGCCGGGCGCCCCCTGGGTGGGTCATTCCAGGAGCAGCTGCTAGGTGGAGGTGGCCACGCAGAGGAGAGAGGCTGGGTCCTGTGCTCAGCAGCAGCGCGCAGACTTATGGGCTCACCAGCTCCACCTCCCACGCCCTCCCCCGGACGCACAGGAGCGAAGGAACGCCCGGAGGTGGGGCACAGGCGGAGTCGCCCCCGGGAGCTCCTTCCCGGCGCTGGCCTGGCTCTGGCCGGGACACAGGCTTGTTCGTCCCCACGCCTCTGAAAACCACCTTCCAAGTAGCCCTTTCCCGTGGGTGGACAGTGACCGAGCTGGTATCTGGCCAGCCGCAGAGCAGGCAGACGGGACAGAGCGTGTTGGTGTCACTCGCTGGCGCCCTGCCCTGGCCTGGCCGACCACTGCACGTGGCTGCCCGGGGCCTGAGAAGCGTCTGTGCGGAAGAGCCCAGAGCCACTGCGATGTGGGAAGCGTGAGCTGGTGGGTGTCACTGATCCTGCTCCCCAGCGTTGCTCACCTGCACCCCACTTTGATTCAGAACAGACCTTGTCCTCCTTCACTCGACATGGTGCCCCAGGGGGTTCGTCTCCACTCCTGCTGGCCAGTGGACCTGGCACCCAAGCCCTTGTTGGGGATGAGGTTAGGCGTGAGCAGACAGCATATTTCTGGTCAAGAAGACCTGATTTCAGGCTTCAAACCTCCAGATCTGTGAGCGCGAACCCTGGTGTCCAAAGCCATTTTCTACGGAGGCCCTGGGACAAATATGCAAATCTGTCAGCATATGAAGCTTCCGCAGCCGCCACAGCACTAGAGCGATCAGCACTAGAGCGATCAGCACTAGAGCGATCCCGGCCAGGGAGGGGCCCCAGGGTGCAGCAGACCCCTCCTGTCTCCCCACTGCTCCTTCAGCCATGGGTTTCAGTGGATCTGCCTGTTCTGCTCCCCACTCTGTCTCTGGGGCGTCCTCTCACCCCCTGCACCTCTGGCCCACACCTCAGTTCTTGTACACATGTACACACACACAAACATTTGCTCAACAGAAATAAAAGGTAGAAATGGGGATCAAATGCAGGCTTTGAGGTCTGTTTCCAGTACAATGAAGGTGTCAATATAAGCGCCTCGGGAGTTTCTACGTCCACTCTGTTGGAAGTCTGGTCGATGTTACACTGCTGATATCTGTACCATCCAGCGTGCACGCACAAACACGCACGTTGCTTGCTGTGGTCATTAAACCCCGACCCCTTGGTCCATTCCAGCATGACAGACGCGGGGCTCAGCTCTCTGCTGGCGCACCTGCCCCACCAGCCTGCAGCTTCCCTGACACAGAGATGGTCTGGTCCTCGCAACTAACTAGCGGGAACAAGCCTGACCCCGCAGAGATGGCAGCTAGGCTGTTAATAGGGCAACGTCCACACTGTGCACGCTCCTAATGACAGGTACTTCACAACTTAGTGCCAGAAGAAGCCAAGCCTCGGGGGAAACTGATGGTAAGAGCCAGATCCCAGAAAACTGTCCGAGTCCTAACCGAATTCTGCAGGTGTCTGTGTTTCTGCTGTTTGGGTTATGGCTTCATAATGATGACAGCCTCGTGTGCGTGTTGGGAAGCAGGCGGGTGACTTAAACGCTTTAGCATGTCGCATTTGTAAGCCTGAGACCTGTCTGTTTCCATGAACTCGAGTTGTCCGCTCGTCCGTTATGTATCAGGAACCCAGGTGACACCATTTGCCAACCAAGAACTATTTCAAAATAAGTCAAACCTCCTGACATCCTCAAAAACCACGCGTATTGTGAGGTCCAAAGAGGTTCTACGAGGAAGTCCTTTCCTCTCCTTTCCACAACCCTCCTCCTCTGAAGTTGCTTCTGGTCTATGCTACAAAATGCTGGTCTCCTTCTAGGTCAAAATCACAGGATGATTCCTATCCAGCCTCAGACCTATAAAAGTGCCACTAAGTGGGGCCCTCCCTGGTGGCGTGGCGGGCTGGAGCGCTGCACTAAGCCACCCCTAGAGCTGATCCACAGGGCGCGACCAACTGCTCCTGTCTTACCTGTGGGTCCCCTCAGCAGTCTGCCTGTTCTGCTCCCCACTCTGTCTCTGGTGAATCCCCTGCGCCTCTGAGCCCTCAGTAGAAAAGAAAACATGGGTGTGTGTGTGTGTGTGCAGTGATGGTCTGTCCAGCAGGGATTGGTGGGGCCAGGGGGTCATGCGGGCCCCAGGGCAGTAGCAATCATCTACCCTCA